TGTGTGTGTGTGGCACTACAGATACATGTTTGGGGGAAATATGTCCTTGAAATCAAGTCTTTTGAACATTTTAACCAAGTTGTATGTACAGTAAGGAATACAAGTGCTTAAAGGCTTTACTTCAAATCGTATGTAATAAACCCTTCAATATTTAACATGAAGTACATTTCTATCTAACGAAGGTGTGGTTATTGTTTTCAGCAGCTGTAAATGCCGTACATTTGCACCATTTCCAAATAACACTAGTGCAATTGTCTGGCATTGACAACATTTTCTGACCTATTTACAGATACTAAACCAACGGCAGGAATAAGGGCTTCTTTTGCTGGTACTTGTGGAGACGGACACTTATAAACAACAGGTTAAAGGTGGGGTAGGTAATTCACTTCAGAAACACTTGTTGTCATATTCCATGGAATGCTCTTAACATCCCGATAGCAATGAATACATTAAATGCTTTGACAATAAATATATACAAATATTTCATCTTTGGAAGTCGTGGCGCTGTAAAAAGCTAGACCGGGCAGATAACTGGATGGCCTACCTGCCTGTCAGCCTTCCATCTGTGCACAAACTTATCTCGTGCCCTCATTGGTCATGTGCACGTTCGTGTGTGTTTCTGTACTTTCAAATTCTAGCGCACTCGAGCTGGTTTCTCCATTCTTACCTACCCTAACTTTAATCAGTTATTGTCATATTTTTCTCTTGAGCGGCTGTAACAACATAATATCCCCAGTGAGGGGTCAAAAAAGTTTTAATCAGACCCATCTTATCTTATCTAATAATCTGATCATGGTAAATAACGTGTGAGAAGTAGGGATTTCAAATATCAGATTCCTTTAAATAAATAAAACACAATTTGTTGTATTAAATCTTTATGGTATAATTGTGTCATGTGATTTACACTAGAGGTTAATTAGCCTAGTTGTATAGTTTGAACTTACTTATAACGTATTTTCAGTGTGTGGATGAAAATGTTAACATGTGGACACAGATGGTGTTTTGAATCATAGAATTACTGAATCTCTAACCCTGTTCATATTTACTGTCCTGTTTATACCATGTGTGTGTTTCAGGTGGTGATGGGGGTATGTTGGTGGTTCAGGTGGTCTCTGACAGTAATCGACCCGGAGTCCCTCTGGTGGAAGGTTCTGAAAAGAGCTCGGAAGTCCTGACACTGGAGGTATATTTATATATTTAAAGAAATCCCAAAGGGTCCTTAAAAATAACTTAGTTGTGCGGAAATGAGTCCTAAGCTCCAGTAATTAGTTAACATTTTACCACTTCAAGTTCCCTCATTTCAAAGTGGTTAACAGAAGTTGATATTTTTACATTTTTTTGAATCGGTATATACCATCTGGTGATGCCTGAAGCTTTTATGTGTCATAAAAACAGTGTTTGCTAACAAGTGGCTTAATGAGACTGCTCAAAGTTGGCCGCCTTTAGTACATTTGATTTTTAGAGAACACCACTTTGTGCTACTTTCTACAGTATAAATTGCAGATAAAGAAAAACATGATTCTTTTGGAAATGTCTAATTGCTTTTATCCACCTTGTGTTTCTGAATCTCCCTAGGCAAGGAGTGGGCCATAAAAGTAGTGGAATAATGATGATTTTTTTTCAATCTAATTTGTGTGCTTGTGTGTTTGCAGGACCTCCTGGAGCTGCTGGGCCAGAAAGCTGAGGCACCCTGGGGTGTTTACCTGCGAATCCACTCTCAGCAGCTTCTGGAAGCTTCTCTCACACGGCTGCACTCGGCCTACAGCCAGGAGAAGCTGTACAGGCCTGTGTGGGTCAGCAGGGAGGGTCCACTCAGCCCAGATCACAACCAGGTATTCGGCTTCTTGACTTCAGTTGGTATTGATTTATTACCACAGAGTTGTTTTCATGTCATGCTTATATATTTTTTGTTTACATTTTTTTTATTCTCTATTGTTTAGAAAAAAGCACTTTGAGCTGCTTTTTGCGAAACTGAAATTGAAACACTATAAAAACATCGAACATATATAAAGATCATAAGAAAAGGCCAATATATCAAAACGTATGTGTCAGGGGAAGGAAGGGTCCTTAATGTATCATACTGTAGTTAAAGCAACTACTACATATTTGGCGTCCCTGTGGAATAAAGTGGTAATGTTATCCTTGAATTAAGACTGCATTTCCCATGAGCACCACTTTATAGTATAGTGTCATTAAGATCTTGATCTGCCTAACTTTTTTTATTTTTTAAAGTCCCATATTATAATATATTTGAGCAATGGAGGCGTGTGGCGCGGTGGATAGAGCCTTGGTCTGGGGATCAGATGCTCACAGGTTCAAACTCCACTGCAGTCAGCATGTCGTTGTGTCCCTGAGACACTTCACTCCAAATTGCTCCTGTGGTGATTGCCCACAGTATTGAGTATGTAAGGCGCTTTGGATAAAAGCGTCTAACAAGTAACAAGCAACATGT